CGCAGCTAGTTTCAACTGTTTAATTCCATTTCTACTGACGTAGTCTCTGGATAAAATCGTTTCAATTCTGGTCAAATATATTTTAACGATAATATTTCTAAAAAAAAATCGATATAAATAAAATCGAAATGTGGGGATATTTGATCCTTATAGAATCCCCCAGAATTTGACCCAGAGTTTGATCAGGATATAAAGACGCCCTCTACGTACATATAAAAAATGAAACTATTGATCAGAAATGTTTATGTTCCAAATGAAACACAACCTGTCCTTACTATGATAAAAAATATTGGAAGGACCTGTCTCATCAGTATTGAATTCGCCCAGCAGTTTCGCCAGTTAAATTTTCCATAGCGGTTTTTAGAAATTAACTATTGTATTGAGCGATTCTGTTCGTATATTCGACAAACTTGGGAGGTCCCTGGTGCTCGCCTTTGTAGGTCAGGGTTCGTGGTGTTGGCCAGACCAGTGTCTAGAGCCGATATCCTGCAGCCTGTCCTGACCTTCCTAGAGACGACACCAGCCATGGCCACACCTCCGCCTCCACCATCTGTCCGTATGGAGGATGATCCGGAGCCGGACTATTGGACGGACATGGTGGATCCAATAGATGAATTGATGCGAAGTCCTGGTTCGGAGCCCATTCTCCGAACGATCGACGTGTTCGAATTCGTGGACGCGGCCCGAGACCCTGAGGTGAGGGAGTGCGTGGTCGCGGATCTTTCGCCGCGGCAGAAAAAGATTGTCGCCCAATTCCTGGATAAGCTCATCGAGCGCACTCGGGACTCGGTTCCCTTGATCCGTAGGGGACTATTTGAGTTCAGGGCCGCCTTGCCTTCCTATGTTCCAGACCCTCCCTGAGGACACCCCCTGTTGACTCCTGACAGAGTCAGGATAATTGTAAATAATTGTAAATCTTTCCCATTGACTCTTTGAGTGTGATCATTGACTGAATGGTCAATAAAGTGTGTTTTCATTGTCACTCCATCAGTCCATCTCAAATATGCCAAAAGGTCCTCTGAAACACGGAGCATCTTGAGAAGGAAGGGGATGCAACTGCACTGCATAGAGCTAAGTTTCCATTAAAGAGAGGTGTCCTCTTACTGGAGAGAGTTGATGATTAGTAAAAGCAAGGTATTTTGACAATAAAAACTGTCATTTGTAGAGAGATGTCCTCAAGCGAGAATGTCCTGTCATGATGGCTCTATTGGAATCACGACAGCTTTAGACGATAAAACTTAATGGCGGAATCTATCCTGCTGAAGATCAAGAAAGTAAATCTCAGATTAATCTTTACTTTCAATGGGAAATTAATAAGGGAAATTGACAAAACTCCAATATATATAACGATCACATTTAACTGAAGGAGGGAGGGGGAGAAATCCAACCACACCCCTGGACCCTTGGAATATTTGAGCTAATTCTGGTCCAAGGTGACTAACGTGGCAACGCACGAATTTTTCAATAAAGAGCATTGGACACGACAACCACAACAACACACATTTAACTGAAGTGAAAAATATATTCTGAATAATTTATTTTTAAAAATTTGACTTTTGTTAGAGATGATAACAATGGTGTAAAAAGTCTTTCTTTCTTTAGTATTCTCTAAATATACTTTATTAACCCAATTTTATATATAATTTATGAACTCATTTTAAAACATCCATCAAAAATAAGAATAAAAGAAGTCACGCAAACTCATGATTGATATAAAAAAAAGATTAAAGATATTTATTCAAACTTGAAATCTACACAATCGACTTCTATAAACGTATGTTGAATAAATTCCCAATGTTCGGCAGAAGATCAAGAATCTACCAAGGCATCCAATATTTGAAGATTTCCAGATTTCCCTAACCTCTTCAAACTTAGAAGAAGGAACAGAATGCTATCGCAGAAAAAAACAGAAAACTTCAACGTCAAATCAGTTGAAGGTAAAAGAAGACATCCTAAGACGACCCACTACCACAGCATTGTATATACCGCAGGGATCCTCCAGCTCTTGTAGCGATGATCTCACACCTTCTTGTTGGATTCTGGTCGTCTTTGTCTTGAAACCTCTCTACATGCGAGGGCCAATCTTTGATTCTGCTTTCTAATTGGACGCCATTGGGTCGTCCTCGTCTCATACTAAGGCAAAATTTAACAGCAGGCAACAAGAAGTGTTGGATCATATCACGTGATCTAGACTGAGAGCCAACTGATTGATCAATTTAACAAATAACAACATAACGCTAGATGGGATTGGCGAGGCTGGGTCGGGGACGGCGATTGGATGTTGTCGGGCGTGGCGAGGCTGGGTAGGGACGGTGCTGGATGGTCTCGGACGTGGCGAGGGTGGGTAGGGACGGCGGCTAGATGGTGTCGGACGTGGCGAGGGTGGGTAGGGACGGCGGCTGGATGGTGTCGGGCGTGACGAGGCTAGGTCGGGGACGTCGATTGGATGGTGTCGGGCCTGGCGAGGCTGGGGAGGAACGGCGGCTGGATGTTGTCGGGCGTGGCAAGGCTGGGTCGGGGACGGCGATTGGATGGTGTCGGGCGTGGCAAGGGTGGGTAGGGACGGGGCTGGATGGTCTCGGACGTGGCGAGGGTGGGTAGGGACGGCGGCTGGATGTTGTCGGGCGTGGCGAGGCTGGGTAGGGACGGGGCTGGATGGTCTCGGACGTGGCTAGGGTGGGTAGGGACGGGGCTGGATGGTCTCGGACGTGGCGAGGGTGGGTAGGGACGGCGGATGGATGGTGTCGGGCGAGGCGAGGCTGGGTAGGGACGGGGCTGGATGGTCTCGGACGTGGCGAGGGTGGGTAGGGACGGCGGCTGGATGGTGTCGGGCGTGGCGAGGCTAGGTCGGGGACGGCGATTGGATGGTGTCGGGCGTGGCGAGGCTGCGGAGGGACGGGGCTGGATGTTGTCGGGCATGGCGAGGCTGGGTCGGGGACGGCGATTGGATGGTGTCGGGCCTGGCGAGGCTGGGGAGGGACGGCGGCTGGATGTTGTCGGGCATGGCGAGGCTGGGTCGGGGACGGCGATTGGATGGTGTCGGGCGTGGCGAGGCTGGGGAGGGACGGGGCTAGATGGTGTCGGGCGTGGCGAGGCTAGGTCGGGGACGGCGGCTGGATGGTGTCGGACGTGGCGAGGCTGGGTCATGGATGGTCGCCACTTGACTGCCTTCCCCGATTCCAACTCTGGTCACGTCCCAGTTCTGTCCAGTGACCGTCCCCGACTCTCGTCACGCCCCGGTGCTGTCGTCACTGTCCTCTCAACCACTCTTGTCATGTTCTGATGCTGTCATCACTGTTCCGGACTACACTTTCGGCACATCCCGGTACTGTCTAGTCGGGTACAGTGGCCAGATAGCACCGCGTTGTGAAGCCAGTGTGTCACGGATAGTTGAAAGATATAACTGGGATATGACAACAGTGGTTAGAGATAGTCGTTAGATGTATCTGAAGATGACGACAGTTGGCCAGGTAAGTGCTCTGCCCACTGAAGCGATCACAAATTCAGTCCTCAATTTGTGAGACTATACAGCCAGCCTCCTCTGGGTTTGTATCTAGATAACATCTTCCGGAGCTTAGTGTCTTATAACAATCAGGTAAATGTTTGTAATTACGCTGAATATAACTTTCTTGTATTGGCACCGTGGTCTGACCTTCAAGATGGTACTCTACGTTATGCTTAACACTGTGTCCTAAATGGCCTCAGGAGTCAAATAATCTTCTACCTTTATACGTGGGGAGTGCTATAATTCTGCGAAGACAAAGAAGTATGGTGTTGTAAAATACATGCCGACGTCTAATTTCCTCAATAATTCTGCCTGAATGCTCCTGTCCTCTGTTGTTTTTAAACTGAAGGTTTGGCGGGAGGGTATCTCCTGCTTCACGCTAAATGGCCGCGGCTACACCGCACGTTGGCCGGGCTGGTGATCAACTCATCTCTCAAGAAACTGACCTAGCGAGTTATTGAATGCCTCTTCTGAACTACCTTGCTCTAGATAGCTGCGGTCAACAACAGCAACGCTTATGAACCAGCCAACGGAACCCACAGGCCAGTTTGGATTAAATAAACGTCGGAGAAGGACTTCTTTACGAGGCAAGTTCTGGTGCCTGGACGACAGGGGATCTTGATTTTAACAAACCTTATACTATAATACAATATAATACGGCTTGTGATTGTAAAACGACATTTCAAAAATGCCGCATGTGTTTATTCTCAACGAAAAATCCAAATTTATTTTAAGGAGAAATAATGATTATTTCTAACCTTAGGGATGAAGTATGAAAGGATAAATTGTGAAGAGTAATGATAAACGGAAAAATAAAAGGGTCCAGGGATTTTTGGGATTTGGATTTTTCGTTGAAAATAAACACATGCGGTATTTTTTAGATGTCGTTTTAAAACTTTATACTGTCAAGATATTTATGCATTAGAATTAATAAATAATGATATAAAATTTCCAAATTTTATTTATTTATTTATTTATTTTTTAAAATTCTTCTTATTTCCTTATTCTTTCTTATAATCTGTATATATTTACCATATGTATATATTCTTTCATCATTTTTATTTCCCACTTTCTCCGTTTTGTAACCCCAAGGAGAATCCTCTGTAAGACCTGTGTGTCTTAATAAAGGCTTTTGTGTGTGTGAAAATAATGATATAAATCTATTCAATAGTTATATTTAGGTGAATTTATGTCCATAGTCCTAGAAACCTTTATCCATAGTTTACTTGAATCCATGTATTCCATACCAAGTACAATATAAGACAATCAGTCTAATACAATAGTAGAGCGAACTGGTAGATAACATTGGCAATACCGCTGGTAAAGTCGCCACTTATGAACCACGCCCTTTCATTTCAATTTTTATATTTCCCCAATAAGATCTGTGAATATAAATTATATAGTTTTCAATTATAAATAAAAGGAGCGTTATAAATTCTATATCCATCTTTTAAAAACTCTTTCGCCAAGTTTCCAGCTATATTCATCAAAAAGATGCCGTGACCAGGATTCGAACCTGGGTTTATTGATTCCACAGCGCAATAACCAATCCATTAGATGATCACGGCAGATGGTGAGGAAGGTTTCTTTAGCACAATATAATTGATCACTAGAATAGTTTTATAAAAAAGATTTTATTTACAAATGAACTATAGAAAGGAAATAAAATGATATTTCAGCTTCCACCATTGAGCAATTAGATTTATATGAGCCAACTAGCGGGTGTACCCGGCTCCGCCCGGGTTTTACCCGAGTGAATGTTTGTCTAACGAACATTTGTTAAAACAATTCTCTTTAAACTTATAAAACGTACTCGGCTTCGCCCGGGGCTTTACCCGAGTAAAGGTTTGTCTAGCGAACATTTGTTAAAACAATTCTCTAAAAACTTATTAAAAAAAAAAGATATATTTTGATAATTTGAAACTCGTAAATTTGAATCTCTCGATAAAGTGAACATTTTTTCCCGGTCCCTGTGTGCCGTGTCATCCTGAATTTTGTCTTTCCTAATTTTCTACATTAGAAAATCATAGTTTTATCTAGTGAACATTTTTCCCGGTCCCTTGAAAAATACTCGATAAGTTGAATAAAATCAATATTAATTGGTTCCCTCGGTAATTGGAAGTTAAAGGAATAGTATCTTCGCCTTGGAATTGTATCATTATTCTTGTCGCAAATAAATTGCCGTGTCATCCTGAGATAATCTTACTTTTGATAAATAATATTTAAGATAACAAACTTAGTGATAAGAAAACTTGTTAACATCGTCACAATGGGGGCGCTGCTTGCGAGTTAAATCTACAAATCTGCAAATAACTCCAAGGATATTCAAGATATTCATGAAATTATTTTTCAAAAACCTTCCCGGTGATATACCTAATAATATCCCAAAATTTCACGGTGATTGGATGTATGGTTTTTGAATCTATAGAGTACAGACAGACAGACATTCAATTTTATATATATAAGATAATATAAATGAGTTTTAAAAATTGTAAAAAAAAAATGCATCGGCCGGGAATCGAACCCGGGCCGCCCGCGTGGCAGGCGAGCATTCTACCACTGAACCACCGATGCTTAAAAAAATGGCCATATTTAGGTAGTCATTCCATTCCGGATTAGTCCGCGTAAAAAAAGTTCTTCAAATGAAAAAAAGAAATAGCCAAAAATACTAATCAAAATGCAGCCGAAAATTTTCCTCAGGTTTATAAAAAGTGACATGCAAAATTTGGTACCAATTGGTTCAGTAGTTTTTGAGTTTATCGCGAAACAGACAGACAGACAGAAATTGACTTTTATATATATATATATATATATATATATAGAGATATAGAGATTTACTCTTCATTGTTGGCTTTTTAACTTACATTCATTCTTCATTGTTGGCTTTTTATATTACATTCACTCTTCATTGTTGGCTTTTTATCTTACATTCATTCTTCATAGTTGGCTTTTTATATTACATTCACTCTTCATTGTTGGCTTTTTATCTTACATTCACTCTGTTGGCTTTTTATATTACATTTACTCTTCATTGTTGGCTTTTTATCTTACATTCATTCTTCATTGTTGGCTTTTTATATTATATTTACTCTTCATTGTTGGCTTTTTATCTTACATTCACTTTTCATTGTTGGCTTTTTATCTTACATTCATTCTTCATTGTTGGCTTTTTATCTTACATTCACTCTTCATTGTTGGCTTTTTATCTTACATTCATTCTTCATTGTTGGCTTTTTATATTACATTCACTCTTCATTGTTGGCTTTTTATATCATATTTAGTCTTCATTGTTGGCTTTTTATCTTACATTCATTCTTCATTGTTGGCTTTTTTTTATATTATATTTGCTCTTCATTGTTGGCTTTTTATCTTACATTTATTCTTAATTGTTGTTTTACATATGGTGTTATCTTAAAATTGCTTGTTTTGAATATTTTTTTTAGATTGAGATTATTAGCTAGTATGTAAAAAAATTAACTCTGTTGAATTTTTTTTTATATTTATATATAAATAAAATTAACTCTGTTGATTTTTTTTGTATTTAATCGATAACACCGAAGTTACGCATGTTAATGTTAGGAAATATATTTTGATGTTAAGCAAAACCTGCTCCATCTCGTTTTACATAAATGTTGAAAATTTGGTTGAAATTGATGCATTGTAACGAAAGTTTTTAGTGAACAACACTTATGAAATTTGCATTTTATTAATATAGATTTAACGGCGGCGAAGTGCAATCATCAGGAATTTCGAACTTAATGTGATTTAAACGGTTTAACGGTCTCTGAAAAAGTATATATAAAAAACACTGGAAGAAAGAGTAAATCAACAGAAAACAGCCTTCAAAAACCATAGCTCATTATCACTTTTAGTAGATCACACACTCAAACAGTAACATGTATTAAATTTTGGAAAAACAGAAATTATTTACAACAATTTTCAAGATAATTCAAGACTATTTTTAGAAAGTTGGACCACAATGAAAGATACCAACAGTATTAATAGAAAAATTGATATCCCTACGTTATATTTACAGTTCGAATCTATTTAACATTCTTTTATTATACTTATTAGGACTCGTATATTAATTTTTAATATTTATAGTTTATTTATATTTGTATTTATATATTTAAAAAATATTTTTAGTCCCAGAGTTGTTAATATTTTTATATATCGTCGCGTAAAGGCATCAGGTGATCAATCAAAGCAGTTCGAAAACAAGAAAAGCCCTGACGTAGTTAGGCGTACAGCCTATTGAAATGTTGGAATTTTGTTATAAATAAAATGTTTTATTTTAAATCCAAATGGGGGCGCAGGTATCTAATCTGTATACAGGAGGAAATACCGTACTAAATACAAGGTCAGTACAGTGGAGAGATGGCCGAAGACACCCGAGCTCCCACTGGGAAGCGTACCACTTGCCGCCATGCCAACAAAGGCTGACTAACCGCCCCTGAAAGTGGCTTGAATTTGCCCCCAATCAGCTGTTAATTGCATCGCGACCCTAGATGACACACGGCATTGTTGGGGTCTTTTTACCGGCCTGATTGACAACCAGTGGACTTCTCCGAGCCTAATAGGATTTATTTACTTTTTGTGGCTCCATTGTTGGCTCCTTCCTTTTAAATATCTCTCTTCTTCTCTGTTTGATAGAGTAGCATCTGTGGCTATCAGGCTGTGGTATAAACACTACATTATACATAAATGTACATCTTTCATTTTAAATAGTATTTTATGTTCTATATAGCATCTGAACTTCTATATATATTTATATTCTGAATATAGAGAAAGCCATAATATCTATATTTGAAAAACAAGGCTTATTTTGGATTTAATAAGATTATTTATTAATCCAATATTTCGATGGACCAATCGTCCATCTTTTACGAGGATTTTGTTATGAAACACACAGCAAGTCGCGTCCGTGGCTCACCTGAAACACACGACTTGCTGTGTGCTTCAAAACAAAAACCTCGGAAAAGATGGACGATTGTCCATCGAAATATTGGATTAATAAAAAGAATTTTATTACAATCCAAAATAAGCCTTATTTTGAAATATATTTGTATTGTATATTCTCATTTTATCCATATATTCATCTGAGTATTTATTTATATTTATTCAGTATTGTGTATAACCCTCTATAATCTTATATGACTATTAATATAAAAGTAGTTTCAATCTCAATTTCTCTCTCTCTCCTGCTATTGTTACCTTATATCAGGATGTAACAACTTGTATAAAAACACTTGTATATTCAAATAAGGAGAATTGATTGTTGAGTAATAGGCGTTTATAATTGTTTGAAGTGTAGCAAGCTTTTGAGCAAATATGCTTTTCTACGGTCAAATAATAATAAATACGACAAAAAATGAGACTATTCAAACAACAAACAAACAACAAAAGCCTTTATTAGGGCATTCCGCCCCATACAGGATTCGCCGTATTTACACATCAACAAGAGGAGAGGGAAGAGGAAACATTTACAACAAAATAAAGTTTGTCTCACATTCAGTTACCTATTTACAGATAGGTCATCCTCCAGTATCCTTTGCCCTGCATTCTTTCTTATGCGCCCAGCTTCTGTGCAGAACTTAAAGTATCTAACAATCAGTAATTCATCATCCAGAGCTGAAGAGAGAAGTTGACATATGCGATGGTATCTAAATTGACCAGAGTTAGGGCTTGGGAAAATTTCAGTACGTTTTTCTGTTAAGAGAGGGCATTGGAAGAAATAGTGAACCAAAGTGAGATCCTTACAAAGTAAACAGTTCCGGCCATTTTCTTTACAGAAGTATTTTCTTTCTTCCCTGAAAAAATGCCATAAAACTCTATGTTGTGCAACTAGTCTTTTGTTGGGAAGCGAGATATTTAATCGTAGGTACTCCTCTGTCATGAATGATTCACTCAAAAATTTGTAGTGAGCAAAGTGGGTTGAATCAATGATTTTCATCTGATCGTTTTGAATTAGTTGGTCTGTGGTGGTTCTAATTATGCCTGGCAGTTCTTTCTGTATGGCTAAGTAGTCTTCGCAGCCCTTAAGAAAGGAATATCCCTTAGAGTCTAGAAATTTTATTAAATTTTGAGTAAAACTGTTTTCTATTTCCTTTTTCGCGGTGACTTTCCAGAGATAGTTTAGGCAAGCATGTGGTAATCTGCTCGTCTCCATTTTTAAAATCCTGACCCAAAACTTTAATGTGAGTTTTACAGCATTAAATTCAGTTGATATTCTTCCACATTCTCTTCTGAGGATATATCCTGGTGAAGTTTGGTAAGTCTAAGAGACGACGAAGAAATGCATCTTGGGTATTATTGACTGTCTTCAGCTGGTTTAATTGCCCACATTGGTGCCGCATATAGTAACGTAGGGAGAACAATAGTGTCAAGAAGTTTCATCACTGAGGTAAAGGACTTTATTCGCGCCTTTGTAAGGATTCTCCAAAGTGCATTAATTGCATTCAGTACTTTGTTTCTAAAGTGTTGGGAAGCATATTGGGTCGAAATTTTTGTAGTCAGAGGGTAACCCAGATATGTATACTTAGCTACTATTGTCAGGGGTTGCTGACCC